CAGAACAAAAGGTCAAAAGTGTGTGTTTTTGGGGGGGATGTCTTTGCTTCCGATACTTCACACCTGAAGGCTTTGGTCAAATGGGAGCTTAGGGCCTGAGTGTGGGGTGAGTGCTGGGGTGGAGAGGTATTGCTACCTGCAGGTCCAGGGGAACTTAGGGAGTATCTACAGGGCTGGCCTAGAAACAGGACAGTTCTTGGAAGCAAGCTCCACTGATCTGGGTCAGGGGCTTCACTGGCCTTTCTGGGAAGGTCCAGGTCCCAGTGCCTGTTTCCATTTATAAAACCAGCTGTTGGAGATGTGGCACTTGAGCGCATGGGGGCTGCCCCTTCAGTAATTCTCTCTCCAGGAGAGAGAACCACCTCTTCCTGGTTTTAGACTAGATGAGCCTGAATGCATTCAGTATCGTTAATCATTGAGGAGGAAGTTAGAAATAAAGACATAGAGGCAAAGTATTCTCTTGGTGTTAAACAAGGTGGAAAGTAAGGGATTTACTAGGGAAATCCCGTTTCCTAGGCAAAAGGATAGTGTTTCTCGTTATCGTTAGCACAGCAAGAGCATCAGTGTCTTGATACAAGCATGCCCTCCCCTAAATGGAGCAAGCAACAGTCCTGTTCTTCCAATGAATTTTTGCACAGCCGCTGTCTGCAAAAACCGTGGGAACCCCCACATAGTAATCTCTTGTCTGCCTTTTCAGGAGCCCCCATCTCATGATCTTCTCTTACTTCCCATGCCTCTTGGCCCCTCTGCAAAGTCTATGGGCTTGTCTTCCTCTCTTCATCTTGCTCTGGTGTACACTTCCACCATTCATGGGCCGTGAGTCCACCAGGTAGTCTCCAGGCAGAAAAAAATCGCACACTACCATGTCATTTGAACAGTAATAAAGGCACATGCAAAGTGCCATGGTGCCAGAGAAGAGGGCTTGAAGGTTATCCTGGAGGAGGCAACTTGTATCTGAGCCTTCCAGGTGGATAGAGGAAAGAACATTGCAGGTGAAGAGACTGAAGAGAAATGGCTGGTGAGTAGGAATGCAGGCTGAGCTCAGGGGAGGGTGCAGCGAGAGGTGGAGAGGAAGCTAGGAGGTAAGAACAGAGGAAGGGGAGGGGGTTCGGATAGGAGGGGTGATAAAGACAGATTGGGTGAGGGGGAAAGGGAGGATGCATGGACACAGTTAGAGGCCAGTGCAGGAAGGGGTGAAACATTCCCAAAGGCCCCTTACAGGCCACTGGTCTGTCAGCTTAGATTTCAAGCACTATGCAGAGTTATGCAAAAAGTCAGGTAGGAGAACTGAGGGTGTCTGAATTCCCTGGGGACAGGTCCAACGTGTAGATTCCTGAACCCTACCCTGGAGAGTCACTCTGGGATGGGGTCCAAGAATTTCGGCTTGACCACCTCTCCTGTGCCCAGCCCTCACCGCCAATGGATTGTGATTTGTCCTTATCAACCACTGGGAAGGTAGGTTGCCATTGTTATCTCCAAAGCACAAATAAGAAAGGAGGCTTAAAAGAGAAGTTGAGTAACTTGGCCACACAACTAAGAAATGGTAGAGGGAGGACTCTCACCCAGCTCTAATTCTAGTTGGAGGGCTGGCATAGTTCGGTGGTGGAGCAAGTGGGGTTTGGAGCCAGGAATCCTTAGGCGCCCCTGGATGAATACAATCTTAAAAAGAAAAGATGACTGGCTATATTATTATAGTATATAATATAGAGAATAATATAATATAGAGAATATAATATAGAGAATAATAATATAGAGAATTATTATATAATTCTCCCTTCCCAATCCAGTCAGATCTCTGTTTTTAACTTCTCTCTGAGCACTGGAGTGAGGGCCTTTCTTTTTTCTTTTCTTTTCTTTTTTTGAGAGCCTTTCTTGTTTCAACCCCAGATGTATCCCTACTTGGCAGCTGACTAAAATCATCAAACTAGTACTAATGCAGCCCTTTCTCTCAAAACTGGAATAGCTAATATTCTCCTGGGTTCTGTTATAGGAACGCTGCTTCTCCCCACTCCTTTTTTACTTTTTTATTATTTATTTATTTATTTATTTATTTGAGACAGAGAGAGAGACAGAGAGCATGAGAGGGAGGAGGGTCAGAGGGAGAAGCAGACTCCCTACCGAGCAGGGAGCCCGATGCGGGACTCGATCCAGGGACTCCAGGATCATGACCTGAGCCCAAGACAGTCGCTTAACCAACTGAGCCACCCAGGCGCCCTCCCCACTCTCTTTTTAAAAATGGATTTAAAGGGTTTTTAATTATTGATTTCTCAATTATACCTCAATAAAGCTGGACAAAAAGAAAGATTTGACAAAATAATGCATTTTTAAAAACCCCCAAATGTTGTTATACACATAGTTTACAGTTTAAATAGTATGAAATGAAATGGTGAGGAAACCTAATGACCCACAGCATTTTCTTGCTGCCCCCCCACCCCCATCCCCACCCTCCTGAGCCAGCTCACCGGGGCTGGTTACTTCTAGCTGAATCTTCTGGTGCTTATCTGCACCTATCTTGCGCTTCTAGCTCTTGATTTATCCATTTTAGACACTGTCTACCGACTTCCTAATACCACAGACAAGGAGTTAGTTCTTTAACAACCCAGTCCATTCTTGGGTTTAGTTATGTCACTCTTTCAAGATAACTGATAGTGTTTACAGAATTGTGACTGTGTAAATATTGTTCACTGCCGAGCTTCCTCATGTACTCTGATTATGATCGTTTCCATCCCTGACCCCCAGAACGTTTCCGTTCTTCTCCTCCTTCTGTGCTACTTGCCATTAGCACTCCTCTGGTCCCCTCCAGTGCTCTGGCTGGTACTTAGCCTTCCCGTGCCCTCCAGCTACCTCCTCCACCTGTCCCACAGCTGCCACCCTGGAACCTTCCCTCACTGCTTCCTGGGTTGGCCTTTTCCTGGCTCCCTTCTCTTCCTGCTTTCTTGACTCTCTCTCTCTGCTGGAGCTCATCGCAGTTAAGAATCCCTATCGAATATTAAAGAACAGAATGGTCTGGGGACCTGCTCATGATAGTAATTATACGTTTAGTAGCTACGAATTGGGAAAAAAAATACACAAGGCCCCCAAATTATCATGAAGGCACTCCTGCTCCTAAGTGAGTTTGTGTTTTACTTAACCACAACAGCATCTATGAATGTGTGAAAGCCTGTTCCAAGTTTAGGCTTAAGGGTTTGTTCAATCTAGCTTCAGTCTCTCATCCTCCATTTGCTACCTCGCCTCCTTATTTTGCGGTAAGACAACCTCCCTCTTAACTTTCAACCCAGTCCCTGTGCTTTAACCGAACTTAAGTACTGGTTTAAGGCCTGACCTCGCGTGTGCACGTGACCACGGCTGGCCAATCAGAAATCTCCTATTCCCAGAGGTAGCATGCAAGCAGACCAACCAGAGGCATTTTGAGGATGGGTTTTCCTCTACATCGGTGTAGAGCTGGAATTACTAATGACCATCTTTGCAGCCTTGGGGCTTGCATCCTTCAGAGCCTGAAGCCAGAGGAAAGCGCAGTTGAGGAACAGATGGGGAAAGGATGACGCTGTTTGAGCCCTAGATGCAGCCAGCTTTAAGCACTTAGGCTTCCCGGGTATATGAGCTGCTCCACTGTATGCCATTTTTGGTTCAAGCATACTTTAGTTGGATTTCTTTCACTTGGAGCATAAAGAACAGAGACTGATATATTTGTCTTTGTGAACTTGGTCAAGTTATACAAGCAGCGTATATATTCATGTATCCTGACCTACAGCTTACAGCGACACTAGGTTCCCTATCCCTCTGCTTTTGTCAGCCTGAGCCTGAGATAGCTTGACATTGAATAGTCCCATTTAGGGACTGGAGGAAGCAACTTAGCATGAGTCACTGGCCTAAAATATACTTTCCACCCACATGCCCGGTGCCTGGAATTCAGTGGTGATGGTGGCATTCTCTAGGGTTAATCCTGGCCCTCTTCAAGTGGTACTCCTTTGGAGTGCAAAGTATGTGGGGAAAGGCAGCAATTAAGGTAGAACATCTGGGGCCGGTTCTGCTTTTGCCCTGAAAGCTGGCAAAAGAGACGATGACAGGGGCCGGAGGCCTTATGGAGCCTTGGGGGCTCTGATGGTGAATCTCACTGTTCTTCAAATTGTCCGAAGTCCATGCAGATCCCTGACTAGGGCTGTGCCTTTAGACAGCCTTGCTCTTAGGACATTTCAGGCAATGAGAATCTTTCTAGTTTCAAAAGGCCTCAAGAGAAAGAAATTTCACTACCTTTTTTTTTTTTAAGATTTATTTATTTGGGCAGGGGAGGGGCAGAGGGAGTGAGAGAATCCTCAAGCAGACTCTCCGCTGAGTGTGGAGCCCCACACAGGCTGATCCCAGGACCTTGAGATCATGACCTCAGCCAAAACCAAGAGTGGGTCGCGGAACCAGCTGAGCCACCCAGGTGCCCCTCACTACCCTGGTTTGATGTTTAACTTGTAGAAGCCCTTTCTTGTGGAGGTTCCTATGGGAAGCAGTGGATACAGGATTCAGTGTAGACAGATCTAGGTACAAATCCCAGCTCCTAATGGCATAGTCCCTTTGCAGCTTCTGGGGCAAACTCAGCACTATGTGCTGACCTTTAGGAGGTCAGTCTGTATTTCAAAAGGAAATCATATGTGGAGAATGAAGAAATGGTTTAAAATCCACCCAGTAAGATTCCTGAGTCATCGCTGCGGGCAGGGCCTGGTACTAGGTATTGGGGAGAGGAAGGAGATGTGATTCTTGCCTTGTCAGGGTTCCTGCTCTAACAGAGAACTGCGGTGGGGCTTTCACATTGATGGACTATCTTTCCCTCTGCTCCATTTACAGGGGACACCTAAAAGAGAGGGGCCTTGTACATAACCTCTAAACCAGGGCTCGGTCCCATCCCAGGATAGAGAGGATTATTGGCTCTCCCTACAGCCACACTCTTGCTTTGTCTCCCTGTGGGCAGAGTGTACTTCCTGTCCCCTGGCCCGGGGCTTGACCATGTGACTTGCTTTGGCCCATGGAATGGGCAGAAATGAAAGTGTGATCGTTCTGTGTCTGGGCTTGAAGAGGTCCAATGAAGTTTCTGCTTCGCCTCTTATTATGCTTCCTTCCGGTAGCCTCTTCAGCTGGGGCCCCAGAACCAACACAGGTGGAAAAGAGCTAGCCCCGCCGATCTGCAGACCAGCAGTGAGAAGCAGCACTGACCCAGCCGGCAGAGCATTCGAGTACAGCTGTACCGGCCATCCTGCGAGAATCGGTGTTCCAGTCCGCTGAGTTTGGGGATGGTTTATCAGTTAGCATTGTTGTAGCGAAGGATAACCAGTGCTCACTCCTTCATTAGGCTATAGGTTCAGTCGCAGTAGAGACCCAACACAACAGTGTGGTAGATAAATAAGCAGCTCCTTGATCTCTGATATAATCATCTGGTTAAGGACTGTAGTCCAGGGCTGGTTTGGTGGTTCGCATGTCAGGGAGCCAGGCGCCTTCTATTTGACGGCTCCACCATTCTGGGGTGTCGCCCTCATCCACGTGAGGTCTTTGTGCTGTTCACAGGTTGAGGTCTTCATTTCCCTTGGCCCTGCAAGCTGGAACCCTACACAGCGGGCGCCAAACCTTCTCCAACACTAGCCTTGAACACACAAAGCTCCGCCTTGAAGCCCCATTCCCACTTCGGCTTCAGGCCTCCAGGACTTTAACTCTTGAAGGAGTGTGCTCCCCTCCCCATCCCCCAGGTCTCAACAACATCTCCTCCCCACTAGGACCTCAGGAGCCAGAGCTGGTCGTGCCTGGCGCTCCCCAGGACTGAGAGGCCCTGACTTCCATGGGGGCGGCTGGCTGCCAGCCGGCGTGAGCCTTCGGGACTCCAAGGGTAAGAATCCAGTGGTGCCTTCTGGTCCTCTTCAGTCGGCTCTGCCCTGCCTCTCCCACCCTCCAATCCCTGTTGACCTCCAGTCCTGAAGAAGCCAGAGAACCTCTGCTCCACCGCCTCCCGGTTCTCTTTGCCCTACTTCAGTAGTTTGGTGAGCATCAGAAGGCTTGTTAGAGGGGCGCCTGGGTGGCTCAGTTGGTTAAGCGACTGCCTTCGGCTCAGGTCATGATCCTGGAGTCCCAGGATGGAGTCCTGCATCGGGCTCCCTGCTTGGCAGGGAGTCTGCTTCTCCCTCTGACCCTCTCCCCTCTCATGCTTTCTCTCATTGTCTCTCTCAAATCAATCAATCAATCAATCAATCAATCTTAAAAAATAGCCTTGTTAGAATGGTCCCTCTGTTTTGGAGACCAGCTCAGGAGGGGTGGGCATGTCGGTTTCGAGGGCGACAGATTCTTTCTCTAAATGCTAGCCAGGCTCCTCTGAGCCCTCTTCTTCATTCAACCTTGCTTGGCCCTTGAAGACTTGAACAAACACTAACATAGTTTCAAGCAGCTCATGGCCGCCTCCCAAGTAGAACCCAAGCCTCCATTCAAGTGCCTGCCTCAAAAGCTCAAGGCTGTCTAAAGAATTTGCTGCTTATTCCAGCCGACACCTGAGGATAGGGCCCTTGTATCCCAGCTTCCGGGAGAGGGTAAGAGCCTAACTTTGATAAGTGCCAGTTAGCAAGCCCAGGTGGTTTCATACGGGCCAACCCACCGTCCTGCTTTTTGTAGTTTTTCACTTCTGATTATAGAGTCCCCAGTCATTCCCTTCCCTATTCCCTCAGTCTCCCTGTGAAATACCCAGTCACCTCTGTACTGGCCCCAGTTAAGTTCCGGTCACGTTGAGCCCTTTTCCCTGTACTACAGCAGTCCCATATTCCCTGTAGTACTGCAGTCCCGTATTCCCTGTACTACAGCAGTTCCGTATTCCCCGTACTACAGCAGTCCCGTATTCCCCGTACTACTGCAGTCCCGTATTCCCTGTACTACAGCAGTCCCATATTCCCAGTACTACTGCAGTCCCGTATTCCCTGTACTACAGCAGTCCCGTATTCCATGTACTACAGCAGTCCTTTATTACTGACTGAGATCTGTCTGGACCACTTTCAGTGGTGTCTGGTTTGGTTTATTTTCAACAGGGGAGATGCACAGGATCAGCCTTTTAAATTTATTAATCTGTTTATTTTTCAGGATCAGTCTTTTAAATAAGCATCTCAGGGATGTTTGAGCTTCGAGGTTCAAAGACCATATTTTGAGAAATTGCGTTTCCCTATGGATACCTTTTCTCTGGCAGCCCTTTTGAAAGAGGGCTGTGTTTCCTCAGATACCTCATTGCCCGTAGTCCATCCAGCTCTCATTCCAGTGAGAACACTCCAGAGACCAAACTAAGAATCAACTCCAGGTGCTTCTCCAGAAACAGAATTGCTGAGCCAAAGGATCCATTAATGCGTGTTTGTCACAGATACTGCCTGGTTACCCTCTGTCAGGGATGGGCCTTTGTCCTCTCAGCCTTGTCAGCAGAATGTATTATCAAACTTTTGGATATTTGCTCCTCTAATAGGTAGAAAATGGTAAATTTCATTAAGTACTTCCTTCAGCCGTGTTCCCGCAGCCTGTGTTTAGGACCTTCTTATCTACTCCTGGGTGCTCCCCACCCTCTTGGTTCAGGCCTTTACCAGCTGGGTTCCCAGCTGGTGTAGGAATAACACCAGAATGGGTGCTGGTGTGGACTGGCTTGCAGTGGATCTAGTTTCAAGTCCTGTTCTACCACTTACAAGTTCAGTAACGGCTGCCAAACTGCTGACTCTTTGAAGTTGTTTCTTCATCTTTAAAATGGGGACTCCCGCGGGACGCCTGGGTGGCTCAGTCGTTAAGCTTCTGCCTTCGGCTCAGGTCATGATCCCAGGGTCCTGGGTTCGAGCCCCTCATCAGGCTCCCTACTCAGCAGGTTGCTTGCTTCTCCCTCACCCTCTTCTGTTCCCCCTGCTTGTGCACTCTCTCTCTCAGATAAATATTTTTTAAAAATCAAAAGAATGTCTAATTACTAGGTGCTATCCCAGTTATATACAGCAAGTTTTAGAACAAGAAAAATTTTGATATGCTACTTGTTAACTTCATTTCAGAAAGTGGTAAAATAGCTGTGGAATATAGACCCTGTGAAGAGATTACAGATGCCAGAACCGAAGAGGAGCTACAGGATTTAATTCAAGTATGTGGAGATTAGAGCTCGAGGATTCCACAGCCAGTGTAGCCATAATTTAAAGCAGCCGGCAGGATTTGTAAGACTTGGGCACGTACAGTTAGCTCTATCATCCTTTGGGAAATGTACAACTCTGAAACTGCTTTTGAGTGCAGAGAATCTCTGGGGCTTTTCCTGAAGTCCTGGCCCTTGGCTCTGACCCCTGATTTCAAATTTGGAGAGCAAATTGCATCAGAATACTCCTACTGTTGTGGACATAGGAGAGGACACAGCCTTTTAGAGCTCCCCTCCAACAGAATCTCAAGGATTTGGGAACAGAGTAACTCTGGCCTTAAGTGAGATTATGCTACAGTGTTTGAAAACCATTATGCCTTTCAAATAAGGTGTATTACCCAGATGTCAGCATCTCATACATACCTTGTATGAAATATTTTGCTGAAGAACTTTTCTGTAAATCACTTATATCAATGCCCTGAATTAGGGATTAAGTTGCCAAAGTAATTTCTAAAAGAAGATATTAATATACTGCATATAGAATGTTTTAAAAAAAAGGAGAAAAGGATGTGTTTCATGTCATTGAAAACTTAATTTGGGGCTAGATTTCTGATTATTTAACTCACTCCAAAGCTGCAAAGTTTGTTTGTTTTGAAGGGAAGAGTGGAGAAAGGAAAGATGGTTACTTTCTGAAAAAGTATTTGAAGTTTTTTTTGTGTGCAAAAGAATTATTTTAATTCAATTTAAATCAAGCCAGTCAAGGAAACTTCAGACTTATCCAAGTTTACACTTTAAGAAGTCTAGCTTCCTGTGAAACGTGAAAGAGATTCCGTATTGATGCTAAAGGTTTCAGAAACCTGATTGGAACAACAGATCCATTCCTAAATAAGGCCAGTCTTGGAATCCGTTCCATTTAAAAACCATTACTATGTGCTAGACGCTGGGAATAAGATAAAACCCTTCTCTCTTAGGGTTTGCGTGTTAGAGCTTGTGCCAGACCATAAACAAGGACTCAAATAAAAGATTGTAAAAAGGGCTGTGAAGGATGTAAACTGTTGCAAACCACGTGGCTAGTTACAGTATTTCAAGAAAATTGTTTAACATGCTAACTTGAACATCCTAAGTGCCTCCTCCATGTGCACACACAGGGTCAGACCTCTAAAAAGTGGTGGTGTTACTTTTTCTAGACTGATGGCTGTGTTGAATCAAGGTGGGAGGGGGAGGTTTTCCCATGCCAGCGTAAATAGAGGGCTATTCTCTTGGTTTCAGACCCTCATTCCCAGAATGAAATGCTCACCTGCCCCCTCAACCTCCACCCGAAACCCCTCCTACAGAAATCTTGGAGACATCACTGAGTCAGTGGTAGGAAGCCTCCTAACAGAGTGGCGACTCAATGCTCAGACATGCGTATTGAGAATGTAGAGGAAATGGCAACATTTTAGAATAAGTCACTGTAAAATGTGTTCCCTTCCCCACTGCCCTGCCTGGTGCTTATTCTGCAGGTCAGCTACTTTTCTTGGAAGCAGGATGGCCCAGGGGAGGAAGAATGTCTCTCGGATTTAAGCTTTGAAGAGGCCGAGTTCAAACCGCCAGAATTGGACTAGCGTTTTTTAATTTCCCGGGATGCCGGGTCCTGTGGCGTCCTTGGGAAACTGCCCCCTGCCCCCTTCCACCCCAGAGCTGCTGGAGTCCGGGGCCATCCTGCCTCGCTGTGAGCCCCAGGAGGTGGTTGTGCCCTTCGTAGGGGGAAGGGAGGCTTGGGCCCTGGTGATTCTGGAAAAGGGGTGGGCTCAGCCTCCTCGGGGAGCTCTACAGGCTGAGCTGGGGCCTCCTGCTAGATTGGAGAAGCCTGAGCCTCCTCGGTGCGCTCTGGAGGCTGAGTTAGAGTTACAGTAAGTACCAGATCCACAGGTTTAACAGTGACGTTGGAGAAGTTTGGCCACTGAGCTTCATTCTTACTTAGAGATGTCATGTGCTATTGGTTGAGGTACCATCTCCTTAGATGGCTCTGGAGGTTGAGCTGGGGCCTCCTGAGGGGTCGAAGTTTCTACCTCCTCAGAGGCCTCTGTCGGTTGAGCTGAGGCTTTCTGTTGGACTGGAGAAAGTTTGACCCAGGGTCAAACTCCTGGAGCCCTCTGCTGAACTGGAGATGTTTCTACCTCCTCAAGGGCCTCTGTCGGTTGAGCTGAGACTTTCTGTTGGAGTAAAGAAAGTTTCTTCAGAGGTACTTGAAGGCTCAGCCAGGGCCTCCTGTGGGTTTACACCTTCCTTAAGTATTTCAGTAGGTGGAGATGGAGCCCCCTGCTGAACTGGAGATGTTTCTATCTCCTCAGGGGGCTCTGAATGTTAGGCCTGGGCCTCCACCTGAGGCAAAAAGATTCAGCTTCCTCAGGCAACTCTAAATGATTTGGGGTCTCCTGTAGGAGTGGAGGAATTTCAACCTCCTCAGGGAGCTTTGGAGGTTGATCTGATCCCCCTGGGAAATCTAGTGGTAAATTCACCTCAGGATATAGGATATCCATACTGGAATCTGAATAACCATCCTGCAACTGTTGTTTTAGGTGGTCTTTATTTGCAAATTGGTTTGGAGTTCCAACAACTTTGGCAAGCCTTTGATGCTGAGCTAGATCTTTCTCCAGGTTTGGGGGTGAAACAATAAACTTCCTTGGCTTTGAACTGTGACTATCCAGAGGTGGAACAAGTATTTCAAATGACTGGTGATCTTCAGCCTGATCTAGACCTACAGTTTTAATCGTACTTTGGAATCGAGGAGGCGGAGCTATGGTCTGATTCTGATCCCAACCTAGCCTTGGAACCACCTCTGGGAGCCTTTCCAGCTGGGTTAGCCTGTCAATCAGATCCTGCTCTGCCTCTGGGGGCAGCTTACCAACTGAATCTGTGTCCGGGAACGGAACCAAAGTCTCAGTCAACTCCTTAGGCAGGGCCAACAATTGGGCTGGAGCAGAGGACCCCTCTCCTGGGGGTGTAAGTGCCTGGAGCGATTCGGGCGGGAATTGAGAGGACTGTGAAGACCAGGGCTCGGTGGGCCCCAGGAGGTCGGCGGTCAGCTGGGTCAGCCAGCAGAGCGCCCCGAGGAGGCTGGGCCTAGTCCAGTCCAACAGGAGGCCCCAACTCTAGTTCCAGAGTTTCCTATGGAGTATCTATTTCAAACTTCAGTAAGTGATGAGGTGCTAAGTCAACCTAGAAGCCACTATCCAACTTATTTAAGGTTTTCCAATGTTACACATAAATCTGCGGATGTGGAACTTACTGTAACTCCAGAGTCTGGCTAAGGAGGTTGAATCTTCTACAGCCCAGCAGGAGGCTCCACCCCAGCCTCTTGAGCATACTGAGGAAGCAGAACCTTCTCCAATGCAGCAAGAGACCTCAGCTAAGCCTCCAGAGGCAGTTGAGCCTTCAAGTGAGCAGCAACCAGCTCATCCTTCTGAGTCTCCTGAGGGGTTTGAACCTTTTCTAACTCAGCAGGAGACCCCAGCTCAGCCTTCAGAGCCTCCTGAGGAAGCTAAGCCTCCAAGCGTACAGGAACCACCAGCTCTGCTTTCTGAGCCTAGTGAGGAATTTGGCGCCGAGCTAATAGACTTAGCGTTAATAACGGGGGGGGGGGGGGGGGGGGGGACGTAGGCGGGGTAGGGGCGTGCAGTTCTTAACGGTGCGCGCGTTACGGGGCTGCCCTAACGGGTTCGGCTCCCGCTCAGAAGCGCGTCGACCCACTAGCGTGGGTGGCTGCGCCCCAGAGCCTCCGCGTGTCATGTCCCGGCTGCGCCTCTGGGCCCCACTGCCGCTCCGCACGTGGCAATCATTGTGGCTGCTGGTCCAGGCAGCTCAGCCTCCGGAGTGGGCCCTGGACCATGCCCAGCTGACCGCCGACCTCCTGGGGCCCACCAAGCCCTGGTCTTCACAGTCCTCTCAATTCCCGCCCGAATCGCTCCAGGCACTTACACCCTTAAAATTCCCTGGAATATACTTTGCAAAAAGAGAACAAAGCATATCTCAGTCCTCCAGACTGAAGAGGAGCATCAAGTAGTAGTAGGTGGGAAAGTGGCTTTGATTTTCAGTTTGTGGGTTCTGAATCTATTATAAAGATAGAAGATACTCTGGAAATCTAAATTAACAGTTGTCCTTACCTCAATGAGACAGGAAACTATAATCAAAATCATCACTACTACAGTCACAGATATTGCCAAGATGAGTTTGTTGTTATAGCATAACCTGGAACCCCTTTTATGAGCTAAAAATATAAAGAACGATTTTTTTTTAGAAAACAAAGAGACAAGATGAAAGCTAACTATTCTTCAGCTACTCTAAAATAGACCCCATTCTTTCAGATGAGTGGCTTACAGGTTCTTAAGGAACACACCAAATCTAATGTGTTATGTAATCTTACCATTAGCATTTTCTTCAAAATTTTATCTATCTTGTATGTTAGGTCCCCTTCTCATCTACCCTGGGGATAGTGGCACTGTTCTCTAAATGAGCAAAGTGGCAGATCACTGTCTTAGCCAACGTTACCTGGCCAAGACAAGACCCAGACTAGGAGCCCCCTGGCCTATGTGCTTGGGTGCTTTCATGGCACGTCCTAAACTGACTCAAAGTCCAGATCCCATGTTTTAGGAGTTGTCCTCACCTCGCTGGACTCCTGCCCTTTCTGTTCACTCTGGACTCCTGTGCTCTCATTGATGTAGTTCTCAGTCTTCCATTGGTCCGTATCCCACTCTGCCTTGGACACCTTTACTTCTTGCTGCTCACTGAGAAGCTTCATCAGGAGGCCTGTTCTGGAGATGAGCTTGGCACAGGCCAGTTGCACGTGGCTCTCAGAGCAGTCCATTTTCAAAGTCCGGATAACGTGAGAAATGAGCCTTCTCACGTCGTTGTTCGGGATGAGGGACCATAGCTGCTGGTTTAGCTGAATTTCAAAGAGGTCACCTGGGGCTGAGAGCTTCGACCCAGTGAAGCCTGTGGGCTTCGGGGGCAATCCAGTGCCCACGCTGTGGTATATCCGTCGTGATTCATTGGTTTGTTTAACAGTTGACATAAAAGTTGCCTGTGGTGGCCACAGAATATGCACTGGAAAGTTTCTTATGGTTCCTGAATGCAGGGAGGGTTTGTTCTGGCACAGTCATGTTTCTTGTAGAAACAGGTTTCTCAGAAACATTCTGTGCAGTAGTGTTTTCTACAGTAGTGTTTTCTCTAAAACGTTCTGAAAGAGGAAATAATTCTGGAAAAGGATTTTCCTGAGAACTCAGTTCTCCTGAAGATGGAAAAGCCTCCCGTGAAGGGGGAATTTATGAGGCTCCTGATGGCAGAGAACGGAGGCCTCTTTGCAAGCATCAGCCTATTACTGATAGGACTTCCCTTTCTGAATTTTCGACTCAGCTTGGCCTTGGGTGCTCTGTGGACCCCACGCGAGCGAGTTTTATGAAAGAGGTACTTTTTTCTGGAATGTGAGACTGGTTTAGAAGCCTTCATATTCCTAACTCTAGCATTTGCATCCTCTAAAACAAAAATGGTGTCGGTTAAGCCTTTGGCATTTTTTCACCCAGGTAGGGATTTTGGAGGAGTGGAGGCAGAAGGCCTGCCCAAGGAGTACTGTTTCAGGAAAGAAGAATCCTCCGTATTGAAGGAGTCTCCCACTAATTTCCTGGGCCTCTGCGTCATGTGAAGCTGCTCCAGCTCCCTTGGGGACGGTCTACTGAGCCTTCTTTCTTTAGCCATATTCTCCACAAATGGCTGGGCATTCTGTTTCCCCTGGTTTCTCTGATTGCGCCTTTGTTTGAGGTACCTTTTCCGTAGGCCCTTTGGGCCCTTGATAACCTGCTTTACTCTCAGAAACTTTTTCCCTACACTCTCAGCCTTGGTGAGGCTCTTTTCCTGTGCTTGGGCAGTTTCCAATTTCTTTGGAAAGATTTGGCGTTTGAATTTGGGACTGAAAAGGCCGGAACGTATAAGCATGGCAGTTTTTTCTTTCTTTTTCACCTCATCAATTTTTTCTTGAATTTCTGCATCTAACAAATTTTCTAGAAAATGGAGTTTCCTCAGTTTATTTTTGTAAGTTGAATTGTTGGGTCCAGGTTTAAGAAAAGGGTTCCCTGTATTGTTTGTCAAGGGACCCATGGGCTTGTCTCCATCTTGCACATTTGAAAACAGAAGTTTAATGAATGGTAATAAGGTTGATTCTACATCTTCTAGATTTCCCTCTGAGAAATAAGGCAATATGTAATTCAGCGCACTAATAACATCACTTTCATCATTAAAGTCTAGCTGCTCATTCATAAAGGCTAAACTGAAGCGATTTTTATCTGAGGATGGCTTCTCTGGCTCAGTTGTCAGCTCAGTACTGGTGCTCTTCTTCCGGGATTTCAATACCTTCATGAATGATCCTTCACTCCTTATAGATACTTCTTCATCTGTCAACAAAAAAGAGACTAGTTTTGACAATGAAAGACTGATAGTACAGCTTTTTGTCAGTCCACAGTCATACATCCCAAATAAATTAAGAACCAACAAATATTTGAGTACCATTTAGAGAGGAGACAAACTCAAACTTGAATCTATGATTGGCAACAACAAAAGGAGAAAAGGGTATTTTTTGAAAAAGCAGCTATGTACTCAGAACCTTCCATAGTGTGAATAACTGTATTTGGGATTATTCCATGGGTCCCCAAGGCTCGATTGTGCAGTACTCAAAAAAAGTCAAGGCTGGAAGACACTCAGCTAAACTGTGTGCAGATCTAATGTGACTCCTGGCATTCATATACCCCATCCTGTCCTGCTTCAGATGCTTCCTCCTTCCACTCTTCAGCATGCTTGTGTTCTTGCTGCCATCGCAGATGCCCATGACAACACCCACTGTTAGCAGGTCCTCATCTGGACATGCCCTCTCTACCCACCCACCAATTCCTTTGCTTGGTCCCTGCTCCCGTATATTGCAGCTCACATAACATAAGCTCTAAACAGAAAAAAACCCACTATGTCCACCCTGGCTCTTTGCTTACATTTGGGCAGGGATCTGGGGTCTAGGTGAAGAGATTTCCCAGGTGTGAGAGATAGGTCAATGTGGAATGTTCAATAAATCAATGGAATGATACTTGAGGTTTTAAAATGCGGAAGGGATAAAGAATCTTTTGCCAGATGCCTACTTCACTTTCATTTCTAATATTTCCAGCTTTATTTACGGAACTGTCCAGAGCTTCCAACTACCTGAAGGTCAAGTGTACAGCTTGTGTAGACTGCACAGCATTGTGCTGCTGGGTTTCTTTTCCAGAAGAATTGGAAGTATTTTTAGTGGTGGTGGTGAGGGTCAGAGGAGGTCACGAGAAAGGAGGAGCAACAGGCTTGCAGAGAGTGCAAAATGAGACACTTGAGTGCTAGGCTACAGCCCTTAACACCTCTGATCACAGTTTTCCTCACCTGTAAAAGGAGATTAAACATGCCTATTCTGTCCACCTCTAAGGGAGAAGGGAGCAATATAATTGGTAAAAAATTGTTTTGAAAAATAAGCAACACTGTACTTACAGAAGTAGCAAAGTACTATTTCTGATGTACCCTAGATCATTGATAAGGACCCGTATTCCATCTATCCAAGTGCAAAAGCACATTTTGGAAGTCATCAAGTTAGTGCCAATAAAACACAGTATACAGAAAAATTCTTAAAAGCCCCTGAGTGTTTTTGGACAGAAAAGCTTAAGATTCAGAACAAGTTCAGAGTTGGACAATCCAAGAATAGAAGAGCCCTCTCTATCCATTAGAAGGTAGCAGCTTCTGGTTAGGGAACAGAAAGTCTCAGCCTCTGAATAAAACTTTTTTTATAAATCAGCATTACTTTTACTCTTATATTACTTGTAAAAATAAAATAAACAAAAATGTATCTTTACCTGTCCTATAGGACAAAGGGCACCTGAGATCTAATGCATATAAAATCGTTTACAGGGCCGTCTGGGTGGCTCAGTTGGTTAAGCGACTGCCTCCGGCTCAGGTCATGATCCTGGGGTCCTGGGATCGAGCCCCGCATCAGGCTCCCTGCTCAGCCGGAAGCCTGCTTCTCCCTCTCCCACTCCCCCTACTTGTGTTTCCCCTCACGCTGTCTCTCTCTCTCTCTGTCAATTAAATAAATAAATAAAATATTTTTAAAAAATCAGTTTACAAACTGTGATGCACTATATGAACTAGTTTTCATTTGGGGGTAATTAATTTAATAACATAACTGAGAATCTGACTTTTAACAAAGGAATAGTTCTTAGAAGTTTAGAGATCTGAGGAGTGTTTGGGTGGCTCAAGCATACAACTCTTGGTTTTGGCTCAGGTCATGATCTCAAGGTCATGGGATCGAGCCCCGCATTGGGCTCCACACTCAGCGGGGAGTCTGTTTGAGATTCTCTCCCTCTGCCCCTCCCTCGACTCACGTGCTCTCTCTCTCTCAAATAAATAAATAAATCTTTTTTAAAAAAGGAGAGATTTAGGGATTTGACTCTGAATGAATAAACATAATGCAATGACATCATTAGTTAAAAATTTTATCATTGTTGATTAAAAATAAAAAAACATAAATAAAATAAAAATTAAAAAATTTATCATGAGGCAATTCAGACTCACCACAATGTGTGGCATTTGTCAGACATTCACTGTCACAATGCAGCTTGACTGTCTTGCAGACAACCTCAATATTATTTTTGAATTGGCAGAGACAGCAGGCCATATGGCTAGGTAAAATCCTATAAATGGAAACACAGAGAATTAAATTAGTGCTAAAGGACTTACTTGAGTAGGCATGCCAAGGGCATCACAGGGCTGTGCAAAAAGGAATTCTTGAGGCATGTGGCCTGGATGTTTGGGTAGGGACCAGTTGGCCAATTGCTGTTCTTGAGTATTGTGAATAAACAGAAGGACCGAGGTGTCCAACAGAAAGGTAAGGATGGTAGGGGGGATGGTGTGCCTAGAATCAGATAAAGATGAGAACTGGGTGACGCTGATCTGTAGTTTAGTTCAGAAGTATCTCCTTCCACCCCAAAAGTCTCACTTTGGATTTAGAGCACACAGGAAGAGGGTAGACTTCTAAGAAGAGTCTGAGTAAGTCTGAAATATGACCCATACTGAAGATAGAAAGCAATCAATCAAAACTGACCCATAATCTACACAGATATTACAATTAGCAGACAAGGACATTTAAAAAGTTGTTGTAACTGGGGTGCCTGGGTGGCGCAGTCATTTAAACATCTGACTCTTGGCTTCAGCTCAGGTCATGATCTCAGGGTCGTGAGATCAAGCCCCACACTGGGCTCCTAGCTCAGCGTGGAGTCTGCTTGAGATTCTCTCTCCCTCTCCCTCTCCCTCTGCCCCACCCGCTCATGCTCTCTCTCTATCAAATAAATAAATCTTTTTTAAAAAGTTATAACTGTATTTCATATGTTAAAAAAACCTAGACTAAAAAATCCATGACTCTACTTAACTCAGTGAGTTGTACAACAACTTCAAGTGGCCTAATATATGTGTACTTAGAGTGAATGAAGGAGAGGAAATAGAAGAAATTTTGAAAAAATAATCGCCCAAAATTTCCCAAACAGGCAAACCCAATAAACCCACAAATCCGAGAAGGTCAATAAACTCTAAGCACAAGAAAAAAAAAGTAACGTGCCAAATGACTTTCAGTTTTCTTACAATAAAATCTCCAAGTCAGACACTATCATGGGGAAATACAAACTATAAATAGTATTTAAGAAATTCATAAAATAAAAACATTTTGCTTGGTTCTAGCATTTCTCCAATAAGATAACAAACTAAGGGTGGGGGATCTACTTTAGTGGGATCATAACCCCTATTTTTAGATTACTATGACTACTATGTCTTTTATTACTAATTCAGAAGTCATTTATGACTTATCTACTCAAGTTAAACTAATGATACGATACACAAGCTGTCATGAAAAATGCCAGTTAATTGCTTTGAGTGTAATATTTTTTCCAAAATCATTTGTATCTACATTGACTTTTTCTACAAATCAATTAAAAAAAAGATAACAAAAAGTTGGCAAAGGACAGAAACTTCAGATAAGAAATACAAATGTTCAGTAAACAAAGAGAGACATTTAAATTTACAAGTCATTTACAAGAAAACTTCAAATTCAGATGAGACCCCTTTTATTCACCCATCAGATCAGCCAAGAAATGGAGAATATCCAGTGGTGGAGGGGTGTGAGGAGGTGAATGCTGTCATGGTCTATGGGTTGGGGTGTATACAAGTCGGCACAACTTTTCCGAGGGCAATTAAAATTGTACATCTACATAGTCTTCATCCCAACAATTCCATTTCTAGATCTCTATTCTACAGAAATCCCTGCCCGTGTACACAAAGATGCATGGATGAGGTGGTTCACTGCAGCAATGCATGTGACAAGAAAACCGGACACAGTCTAAACATCCATCCATAGGGGAATTATTAAATTATAATACATTCATACTACGGAATATTACGCAGGAGTTTACGTGAATGGGGTAACCCCCTATGTACTAGAAGAAAAGAAATCTAAGACCTACCATGAAGCAAAAGAATGGAGTTGTAGGATGTTACCATTTATGTAAAAGAAAAAAAAGAAAGAAAGAAAATCACACAGCAAACCTATTTTGTCGTCTATAAATATGTATGTAGACAAATGCATGGATAAAGGTCTGGAAGGATATATATGAAATCCAGAGTAGTGGCTATCTCAGCGGTGGGGGATCAGAACACAAGGAGGATGTTCACTATATCACGATATTCTTTTATTTTTATATAGAGAATATAATCATGTATTCCATGTATAATAGAACATAAGTTTAGATTGACTCTAATTTTAAAGAGAGCCTGCCAAATTTAATTTTTAAAATAAACACTGAATTGCAATCAATAGAGGTTGAATTGGGATATGGAGGGGGAAATACCTTTCCTCAGAGCTACTGACTTCAAAATTCTGGACCAAGAAGGATCTTAGAATGCAGTTCAGTTTTTTGTATTTGTATTTGGAGAGAATATACTCACAGTTTCTCAGTCCAACGGTATGCCTTCCATATATTTTTATCGATCTCAGAAATAGAATTTCCTTTGAAGTTTCTGTGAAGAAACACCGTTCAGATCCTTGAATAGGTAGGAAAAGAATGAACAGAATAAGTAAAAGAAGCATTGGCAACCTTGTGGGGAATATTCAAATGCAGAAAATACCAGCGGTCTAATTTCCACAGCTATCAGCATCCCAGTTTGCGCAATTAATGAAGAGATGAGGTGGGACTGCTGTGCGCAAACAAGGCATCTCCCTAGAACCTGAACTTCCTATCTTGGACAGATATTGCCAGTGAATTACTTTGACTATGAGCGTTTTTTCCAAAATCACTTATGTGTCCAAAATGGCTCCTTCGTAAATCAGTGAGAAAATAAGAATTCAACAGAAACATGGCAAAAATGTATCACTTATCAGCAAACAAAGGTAAAGAAATCCTAAGCCAGGCAACACCAAAGCTTTGGCTCAGTGCCCTCTGTTGAAACCTCTTCAGCTGTTCGGATAAAGGAAGTTAGAAATTAGAGGAACTAATATGGAGAGATTTCTTAGACGCACTGCATAAGGAAAAGCAACAAATCACTGAGCAAGGAATAGAAAGTATTACCTCATTAGGGGAAAAATTGCAAAGGAAAGCGATGGGAAGGAAGGACACACAGCAAAATGGTAACAGGAGTTATCTTACAGGTGGTAGGGAGGGTGGGGTGGGATTTTTACATTTTATCCTATATGCTTGTGCCATTTAAAAACAAAGAAACAAAACAAACAAACAAAAAACCCCAGTGAGAATGTATCCATGAATTGCATGTGTTTAAAAGAAGCCACGAAATGCCTGAGACTCCGTTTCATCCACTAACTCTATGTATTTTTACCTTTAGCTTTCCTCAGCAACAACTTACCTATTCAGTTTATATACACATTTTTTCTAGGGGAGTCAGAAACAAGGCAACACAGGTACCCATCTGCCCATCTGCCTAGTGGCCATTTCCAGGAACCAGAAGCCTTCTGGTTGCTTTATGTTCCCTGAGAAAAGATGCCCCAAACTGAACTTATCTCCCTCAAACTGGCTCTCCTTCCCAACTGCTGTGTTTCCACCTGTTCTTCCGCCATTGTACTGCTCATACAGGACAGAAACTTCGAGTCATGTTTCATTTTTCTCTTTCCTGGACACACCCTACCCGCTACTCTCATCAGTTACTCAGTCTTGCCGCTTCTTCCTTTGTGGTGCTCTCAGGATTTTCTTTCTACTCCTATCACAGCCACTCTGATCCGGCCCCTTGTCATTTTACTCCCAGCTTTTGCTAGAGCCTTCTATCTGGTCTCCCTAGATCAAGCTTCGCTCTCTAGATCGCTCTACATAGGGAATCAAAAACAATCCTCTTGTTTTAATGGTATTTATCTCTTGCGGGAAAACTTTCAGTGACTCTCTATATCTCCGAGTGTAACTTTCAAACCCCTCTAGCTGATAGTTAAGGGTTTTCATAATCATATCTTTCACAGCGTCCTAACCTAATTCTTAATTCCTGATCAGTCTTGCAGCACTGACTTTGCCTAGACTATATTCCCTATTTTTGCTCTATTTAACAAATCATAGCCACTCTTTAAGTCTCAGCTAAAGTTTTAGCTTATCCATGCAGCTCTCCCTCACCTCCACACTCTATTGATTACAGATTCTGGTGAATTACAGCACCTATGGTCTGTACTTAATCATAGGTCACCTCCCTTTCTATGCCTGTTTCCTTTCGTCCCACCTATCATTTCACGTTCTAAAGACAATGTCATAATCCCATGGATCCCACAGTACTGAGTCCTGGGCTGGGCACAAAATAGGTGCTATATATAGAAGGCCGGGGAACAAAGATGAGTTCTGAACATAACTGAGGAGTCAAATTATAATAGATAACACTCATATATATGCTAGGCACCAGTGCAAGTGCTTTATATGTATTAACTCATCTAAATCTCACAATAAGCCCATGAGATGGTAACTATCATAATCCCCATTTTCCGGAAAAGGAAAATGAATCAAAAGCTAGTAAGTGACAGACCTCGGTTCAAACCCAGGCGGTCTAGTTCCAGAATCTCTACTCTTAACCCCTTTGTTCTATCACCACCAACGAGATGGAGAGAAGGACATGTTGCTATAAAGAGGATGGAGCAAAAGTGGGAGAGTAGAGGTTAAGGAATGAAATGATGGGGATAAAACACTGGGTAAGAGAAAGGAATAAGGACAATGGCAAGCAAAAGATTGGAGAAGGGGGAACAATAGCAAAGAGCAAAACAAAGATAAGGGAAAGTTGACAAAGAAAAGGTAAAAACAGAAAGTCAACATGGGTTGGGGAGATGAGGAAGGCCCAGGAAGACCTTGAAGAAAAGGCTGCCATGGCAAGCAGGAGGCAGAGAACAAATGAGGAAAGGCAATTCTTACAAGATGGTGAAGGTGCCGTTGTAGGTGTTGAGCTCTGGCACAAGCACTCTGTGGAGCCTCTGCTTTGGGCTGAAACTAGTACACGACAGCGTCTCATTTTTGCAGGTACAGAGCTCACACGTGTTGATGTTCGTGGTAGCGTTCTCTTCTGGTTGCTCAGTTAAAGTTGCGTATGCCTTTTCTGGGGTATATTTTACAAAATGCAGCACTGAATGCTGGGTTGTTGGGGGAAAAACTGTCTCAGATGACGCTGGTTGCGGACGTACAGTAATTTTCAGGTCCATGGGTGGAACAGTGACTTTAGTCAGGTTCGGACGTTGACTCTGAACCTGTTCTGGATGGGCAAGTGTCACCTCAAGGTCCTTTGGAGGAGGAGCTATAGTCTTCTTCATGGTTGTATAATGTGTAGGCTCTGTAATAGGTTCTGGAGTAATGGTAAGCCCCAAGCCCACATGATGAAATGTGGTACTGGGTGATGCTGGATGCTGACCTTGATCCTTACTTGGAGTTGGAGCTGTCACCTCCTGATGGAATGGATATTGAACTATAACTGGGTTCAGGAGGCATAGCTGGGGCCTGCTGGGGGACAGGGGACTGAGCTGGGGCCTCCTGCTGGACTGGAGGTGGCTCTGGAGGCTGAGTTGGGATCTCCTGCATGGTTGGAGAAGGTTCAACCTCCATATTGGATCCTGCAGTTACAGTAATTTCCAGGTCCATAGGTGGAACCGTGACTTCAGTCAGGTTTGGATGTTGACTCTGAACCTGTTCTGGACGGGCAAGTGTCACCTCAAGGTCCTTTGGAGGAGGAGCTGTAGTCTTCTTCGTGGTTGTAGAATGTGCAGCCTCCATAATAGGTTCTGGAGTAATGGTAAGCCCCAAGTCCACATGATGAAATGTGGTGCTGGGTGACGCTGGATGCTGACCTTGATCCTTACTTGGAGTTGGAGCTGTCACCTCCTGATAGAATGGATATTGAACTACAACCTCGTTAGGTGGCTCTGGAGGATGGGTTGGGGTCTCTTGCATGGTTGGAGAAGTTTCGGTCTCTGTAGTAGGTTCTGGAGTTATGATCAGCCCCAGGTCCAAAGGTTTAACCGTGACTTTATTTAAGGTTGGATGCTGAACCCGAACCTGCTCTGACTGTGGAAATGTCACCTCAAGGTCCTTTGGAGGAGTGGTGGTCTGCTGCAGGGTTGCAGACTGTTTAGCCTCTGTAGTAGATTCTGGAGTTATGGTAAGCTCCAGGTCCAAAGGTTGAACTGTCACATTTGGTGACCACCGATGCTGAGCTTGATCCTGACGTGGTGTTGGAACTGCTGCCTCCTGATATACGGGAGGTTGAGATACAAGTTCCTTAGGTGGCTCTGGATGCTGATGTGGGGTCTCATGCATGGCTGGAGAAGGTTCAACCTCGGTAGTAGATTCTGGACTTATGGTAAGTTCAACTGTGACTTTATTTAAGGTTGGACGGTGAGACTGAACCTGCTCTGAATGTGCAAGTGTCACCTCAAGGTCTTTTGGAGGAGATGTAGTCTTTTTTAGGGTTGTAAAATGTTCAGAACCTGGTGTCTGAACAATCTCCTCCTGATATACTGGAGATTGAGCTACAACAACCTCCTTAGGTGGCTCTGGAGGCTGAATTGGGGTCCCCTGCATAGGTAGAGAAAGTTCAGTCTCCTTAGTAAATTCTGGAGTTATGGTAAGCCCCAGATCCAAAGGTTGAACTGTGACTTCAGCCAAAGTTGGATGCTGAGTCTGAACCTGCTCTAGGTGTGCCAATGTCACTTCGAGGTCCTTTGGAGGAGCTACAGTTTTCTTCAGGGCTGTAGAATGTTCAACCTCTATAGTGGGTTCTGGAGTTACGGTAAGCTCCAGGTCTAAAGGTTGAACTGTGACTTCGGTCACATTTGGTTGCTGAGCCTGAACGTGCTCTGGATGTGGAAGTGTCACCTTGGGGTCCTCTGGAAGAGATAGAGTCTGCTGCAGGGCCATGGAATGCTCAGCCTCTGTAGTAGGTTCTGGAGTTACAGTAAGCTCCAGGTCAGCAGGTTTAACAGTGGCACTGGGCAAGTTTGAAGGCTGAGCTTGCTCTTGTCCTAGAGGTGGAACTGTTACCTCATTATGGACTGGAGGTTGTGCTACAGCCTCCTTAGGTGGTTCTGGAGGCTGAGCTGGAGCCTCCTGCTGGGTTGGAGAAGGTTCTACCTCCTTAAGGGGCTCTAGAGGTAGAGATGGGGCTTCTTGCAGGACTGGAGAGGATTCTACCTTCTCAGGAGACTGTGGAAGCTGAGAATGGGTGTCTTGAGAGACTGGAAAAGGTTCTACTTTGTCAGGGAGTTCTAGAGGCTGAGCTGGGGTTTCCTGCTGGGCTGGACATGGTTCTACCTTCTGAGGGGGCTCTGAAGGCTGAGCTGGGGCCTCTGGCTGTGTGGGAGAAGATTCCGCCTCCTTAGGGGGCTCAGGAGATATAGCTGGGGCCTGCTGGGGGACAGGGGACTGAGCTGGGGCCTCCTGCTGTGTGGGAGAAAGTTCCACCTCCTTAGGGGGTTCAGGAGACATAGCTGGGGCCTGCTGGGGGACAGGGGACTGAGCTGGGGCCTCCTGCTGGGTTGGAGAAGATTCTGCCTCATTAGGGGGCTCTGAAGGCTGAGCTGGGGCTTCCTGCTGGGCTGGAGATGTTTTTACCTTCCCAGGGGGCTCTGAAGGCTGAGTTGGGGCCTCCAGCTGTGTGGAAGGTTCTACCTCCTTACGGGGCTCTGGAGATATAGCTGGGGCCTGCTGGGGGACAGGAGACTGAGCTGGGGCCTCCTGCTGGGTTGGAGAAGATTCTGCCTCATTAGGGGACTTTGAAGGCTGAGCTGGGGCCTCTGGCTGTGTGGGAGAAGGTTCCACTTCCTTGGGGGGGCTCAGGAGATATAGCTGGGGCCTGCTGGGGGACAGGGGACTGAGCTGGGGCCTCCTGCTGGGTTGGAGAAGATTCTGCCTCATTAGGGGACTTTGAAGGCTGAGCTGGGGCCTCTGGTTGTGTGGGAGAAGGTTCCACTTCCTTGGGGGGGCTCAGGAGATATAGCTGGGGCCTGCTGGGGGACAGGGGACTGAGCTGGGGCCTCCTGCTGGGTTGGAGAAGGTTCTACTCCCTTAAGGGGCTCAGGAGATATAGCTGGGGCCTGTTGGTGAACTGGAGCCTGAGCTAGGGCCTCCTGCTGGGTTGAAGATTCTGCCTCATTAGGAGGCTCTAAAGGCTTAGCTGGGGCTTCCTGCTGGACTAGGGATGGTTCTACCTTCTCAGGGGGCTCTGGAAGCTGAGATGGTGACTCCGCCTGTGTGGGAATATGTTCTACCTCTTTAGGGGGCTCAGGAGATATACCTGGGGCCTGCTGGGGGACAGGAGACTGAGCTGGATCCTCCTGCTGGGTTGGAGGTTTGACCTCCTCAGTGGGCTTTGGAGGATTAGCTGAGACTACATGTTCATTTGCAGATGGTTCAATCTCCTTAGGGGGCTCTGAGGGCTCAGGTAGGACCTCCTGTTGGCTTGAGCAGGTTCTACCTCGTTAGGAGGGTCTGGAGTCTGAGCTATGAGCTCCTGTTGGCCTGGAAGAGTTTCATCTTTGGGGATCTCTGGAGACTGGGAAAGAGGCTTGAACTGGATTGGAGAAAATTCAATCTGCTCAGGGGGAACTGGAGCCTGAGCAGGGACCTTCTGCTGCACTGGAGAATGTTCAACCTTAGTTGGCACTGGAGTTATGGAAGCCTCCAGATCTACAGGTTTAACTATGATATTGGGCAACATTGGATGCTGAGCTTGACCGGGACCTAGAGGTGAGAATGTCACCTCATGATGTACTGGAGCCTGAGACACAATATCTGTAGAGGACTCTGGAGGCTGAGCTGGGTGCTCATACTGAACTGGAGAAGGCCCGATCCCCTCATTGGGCTTTGGATGTTGAGCTGGGACCGCATGCTGGACTAGAGAAGGTTCTACACCCACAACAGGCACTTGAGACACAGCTGAGCTCCACTGCTGGCTTGGAGGAAGCTCAATTTCCTCAGGAAGATCTTCAGGCTGAATTGGGACTCCCTGCTGGACTGGAAAAGGTTCAAAATTTTCAGGGGGTGCTGGATGCTGATCTGGGACCTCCTGCTGGATTGGAGATGGTTCGATTTCCTCAGAAAGATCTTCAGGCTGATTTGCGACTTCCTGCTGGATTGGAGAAGGTTCAACATTTTCAGGGGGTGCTGGATGATCTCGGGCCTCCTGCTGGATTGGAGAAGGTTCCAGCTGCTCAGGGAACACTGCAGACTGAGCTGAGGCCTCTTGTTGGGGTAGAAAAGTTTCAACCTCATTAGTGGACTCTGGAGTTATGGTAAGTGCCAGATCCACAGGTTTAACAGTGACACTGGGCAACAGCAGAAGCTGAGTTTGACCCTGACCTAGAGGAGAAACTGTTACCATATGATGCTCTGGAGAGTAAGCTGGGACCTCCTCCTGTTGGGTTGGAGAAGGTTCAACCTCACCAGAAGGCTCTGGATGCTGAGCTGTGGCTTCCTGCTGGGTGGCAGAAGGGTTAACTTCCTCAGAGGTCTGTAGTTGCTGACTTGGGGCCTCCTGATGCGTTGCAGGTTTAACCTCCCCAAGGGGATTTGGATGCTGAACTGTGTCCTCTGACTGGGCTGCAGAAGGTTCAATCCCCTCAAGAGACTCTGGATACTGAGTTGGGGTCTCTGATTGGGTTGGAAAAGGCTCACCCTCCTCTGGGACCTGAGGGTGCTGAGCTGGGGACTCCTCCTGGGTTGTAGGTTTGATCCCCTCAGAGGTCTGTAGGTGCTGAGCTGGGGCTTCTTGTTGGGTTGGAGAAGGTGCAACCTGCTCAGATGTCTGTGGATCCTCACCCTGGCTCTCCTCCTGGGTTGAAGATTCACCCTTCTCAGGGGTCTGTGGAAATTGAGCTGGAGCCTCCTCCTGGGATGGAGATGGGTTTTCCTTCCTCAGGGGCTTGTGGATGCTGGACTGGGGCCTCCTGCAGAGTTGAAGGCTTAACTTTCTCAGGAGTCTGTGGATGATGACCCTGGCTCTCCTCCTGTATTGAGGAAGGTTCATTCTCTACAGGGGTCTGTGGAAGCTGAGCTGGGGCCTCCTGCTGGGGTGGAAGATGTTCACCCTCTTCCTGGGTCTCTGGAGGTTTGGCCAGGGCCTCCTCCTGGCTTGAAGATGGTTCACCCTCGGGGCCCTGTGATTGCTGAGCCAGGGCCTCCTGTTGAGTTGTGGGAGGTTTAACTTCTGCAGGATACTCAGGATGCTGAACTGAGGTTTCCTGCTGTGTTGGAGGTTTCTCCTGTGTGGTAGATTCTGGGGATTCAGTTGGAGTCTCCTGTTGAACTGGCAAAGGTTCAGCTTCCTCAGGGGACTGTGGAGGCAGAGTTGGGGCTTCATGCTGGGTTGCAAATGGTTCCACATTAAGGGGCACAGAGGGCTGAGCCGCAGCCTCCTGCTGAACTGGAAAAGGTCCCACCTCTGTAATGGGTTCTGGTGTTATAGTAACCTGCACATCTGCAGGTTTAACACTGACATTGGGCAGGTTTAAATGCTGAACATGATGGTGACCTGGAGGCGAAACGGTCACCTCATGATGCCCTAGAGATTGAGCTGGGTGCTCCTGCTGGGTTGGAGAAGGTTCCACCTCCCCAGAAGGCAGCTCGGGAGGCTGAGCTGGTTGTTCTTGCAGGGCTGCTGAAGATTCTATCTCTCCTGGAGACTGAGCTGGGGTCTCCTGCTGGATTGAAGATTCTGCCTCATTAGGGAGCTCTGCAGGCTGAGCTGAGGTCTCCTCCTGGGTTGAGGAAGGTTCAGCTTCTCCAAAAGGCTCTGGAAGCGGTGCTGGGGCCTCCTGCTGAGCTGGAGAATGTTCTTCCTCTTCAGGATTCTGTGGGGGCTGAGCTGGGATCTCCTGCTGAGTCAGAGAAAGTTCAAATTCCTCACTAGGCTCAGAAAGCAGAGCTGGTGGTTCCTGTACGCTTGGAGGCTTAGCTTCCTCAGGAGGCTCTGAAGGCTGAGCTGGGGTCTCCTGCTGAGTTAGAAAAGGTTCAAACCCCTCAGGAGACTCAGAAGGCTGAGCTGGTTGCTGCTCACTTGAAGGCTCAACCGCCTCTGGAGGCTTAGCTGAGGTCTCTTGCTGCATTGGAGAAGGTTCTGCTTCCTCAGTATGCTCAAGAGGCTGGGGTGGAGCCTCCTGCTGGGCTGTAGAAGATTCAACCTCCTTAGCCAGACTCTGGAGTTACAGTAAGTTCCACATCCGCAGATTTATGTGTAACATTGGAAAACCTTAAATAAGTTGGATAGTGGCTTCTAGGTTGACTTAGCACCTCATCACTTACTGAAGTTTGAAATAGATACTCCATAGGAAACTCTGGAACTAGAGTTGGGGCCTCCTGTTGGACTGGACTAGGTCCAGCCTCCTCGGGGTGCTCTGCAGGCCGAGCCGGGGCCTCCGGCTGGGCTGGGGTGGGCCCAGCCTCCTCGGGGCGCTCTGCTGGCCGAGCCGGCGCCTCCATCTGGACTGGAGTGGGCCCAGCCTCCTCGGGGTGCTCTGCTGGCTGAGCCGGCGCCTCCGGCTGGACTGGAGTGGACCCAGCCTCCTCGGGGTGCTCTGCTGGCCGAGCTGGTGCCTCCAGCTGGATTGGGGTGGGTTCAGCCTCCTCGGGGAGCTCTACAGGCTGAGCTGGGGCCTCCTGCTGGATTGGAGAAGCCTGAGCCTCCTTGGTGCGCTCTGGAGGCTGAGTTAGGGTTACAGTAAGTACCAGATCCACAGGTTTAACAGTGACGTTGGAGAAGTTTGGCCACTGAGCTTCATTCTTACTCAGAGATGGCACATTCACCTCATGTGCTATTGGTTGAGGTACCATCTCCTTAGATGGCTCTGGAGGTTGAGCTGGGGCCTCCTGAGGGGTCGAAGGTTCTACTTCCTCAGGGGCCTCTGTCGGTTGAGCTGAGGCCTCCTGAGGGGTCGAAGGTTCTACTTCCTCAGGGGCCTCTGTCGGTTGAGCTGAGGCTTCCTGCTGGAGTGAAGAAAGTTTGTTCTTCAGGGGTGAAGGCTCAGCCAGGGCCTCCTGTGGGTTTACACCTTCCTTAAGTATTTCAGTAGGTGGAGATGGAGCCCCCTGCTGAACTGGAGATGTTTCTATCTCCTCAGGGGGGTCTGAATGTTGGGCCTGGGCCTCCACCTGAGGCAAAAAAGATTCAGCTTCCTCAGGCAACTCTAAATGATTTGGGGTCTCCTGCAGGAGTGGAGGAATTTCAACCTCCTCAGGGAGCTTTGGAGGTTGATCTGATCCCCCTGGGAAATCTACTGGTAAATTCACCATACTGGAATCTGAATAACCATCCTGCAACTGTTGTTGTAGGTGGTCTTTATTTGCAAATTGGCTTGGAGTTCCAACAACTTTGGCAAGCCTTTGATGCTGAGCTAGATCTTTCTCCAGGTTTGGGGGTGAAACAATAAACTTTGTTGGCTTTGAACTGTGACTATCCAGAGGTGGAACAAGTATTTCAAATGACTGGTGATCTTCAGCCTGATCTAGACCTACAGTTTTAATCGTACTTTGGAGTCGAGGAGGCGGAGCTATGGTCTGATTCTGATCCCAACCTAGCCTTGGAACCACCTCTGGGAGCCTTTCCAGCTGGGTTAGCCAGTCAATCAGATCCTGCTCTGCCTCTGGGGGCAGCTTACCAACTGAATCCGTGTCCGGGAACGGAACCAAAGTCTCAGTCAACTCCTTAGGCAGAGACAATCGGGCTGGAGCAGAGGACCCCTCTCCTGGGGGTGTAAGTGCCTGGAGCGATTCGGGCGGGAATTGAGAGGACTGTGAAGACCAGGGCTCGGTGGGCCCCAGGAGGTCGGCGGTCAGCTGGGCATGGTCCAGGGCCCACTCCGGAGGCTGAGCTGCCTGGACCAGCAGCCACAATGATTGCCACGTGCGGAGCAGCAGTGGGGCCCAGAGGCGCAGCCGGGACATGACACGCGGAGGCTCTGGGGCGCAGCCACCCACGCTAGTGGGTCGATGCGCTTCTGAGCAGGAGACGAACCGTTAGGGCAGCCCCGTTACGCACGCACCGTTTAGAACTGCACGCCCCTCCCCCGCCTACATTCCACCCTTTATTACCCTACCTGTATTAGCTCAGCGTGGACGGGACCCCGCCCCTCAGAGCGAGCCCCTTTTCCAGAATCACCAGGGCCCAAGCCTCCCTTCCCCTTACGGAGGGCACAACCACCTCCTGGGGCTCACAGCGAGGCAGGATGGGCCCGGACTGCAGCAGCTCTGGGGTGGAAGGGGGCAGGGGGCAGTTTCCCAAGGACGCCACAGGACCGGCATCCCGGGAAATTAAAAAACACTAGTCCAATTCTGGCGGTTTGAACTCCGCCTCTTCAAAGCTTAAATCCGAGAGACATTCTTCCTCCCCTGGGCCATCCTGCTTCCAAGAAAAGTAGCTGAGCTGCGGAATAAGCACCCGGCAGGGCAGTGGGGAAGGGAACACATTTTACAGTGACTTATTCTAAAATGTTGCCATTTCCTCTACATTCTCAATACGCATGTCTGAGCATTGAGTCGCCACTCTGTTAGGAGGCTTCCTACCACTGACTCAGTGATGTCTCCAAGATTTCTGTAGGAGGGGTTTCGGGTGGAGGTTGAGGGGGCAGGTGAGCATTTCATTCTGGGAATGAGGGTCTGAAACCAAGAGAATAGCCCTCTATTTACGCTGGCATGGGAAAACCTCCCCCATCCCACCTTGATTCAACACAGCCGTCAGTCTAGAAAAAGTAACACCACCACTTTTTAGAGGTCTGACCCTGAGTGTGCACATGGAGGAGGCACTTAGGATGTTCAAGTTAGCATGTTAAACAATTTTCTTGAAATACTGTAACTAGCCACGTAGTTTGCAACAGTTTACATCCTTCACAGCCCTTTTTACAATCTTTTATTTGAGTCCTTGTTTATGGTCTGGCACAAGCTCTAACACGCAAACCCTAAGAGAGAAGGGTTTTATCTTATTCCCAGCGTCTAGCACATAGTAATGGTTTTTAAATGGAACGGATTCCAAGACTGGCCTTATTTAGGAATGGATCTGTTGTTCCAATCAGGTTTCTGAAACCTTTAGCATCAATACGGAATCTCTTTCACGTTTCACAGGAAGCTAGACTTCTTAAAGTGTAAACTTGGATAAGTCTGAAGTTTCCTTGACTGGCTTGATTTAAATTGAATTAAAATAATTCTTTTGCACACAAAAAAAACTTCAAATACTTTTTCAGAAAGTAACCATCTTTCCTTTCTCCACTCTTCCCTTCAAAACAAACAAACTTTGCAGCTTTGGAGTGAGTTAAATAATCAGAAATCTAGCCCCAAATTAAGTTTTCAATGACATGAAACACATCCTTTTCTCCTTTTTTTTAAAACATTCTATATGCAGTATATTAATATCTTCTTTTAGAAATTACTTTGGCAACTTAATCCCTAATTCAGGGCATTGATATAAGTGATTTACAGAAAAGTTCTTCAGCAAAATATTTCATACAAGGTATGTATGAGATGCTGACATCTGGGTAATACACCTTATTTGAAAGGCATAATGGTTTTCAAACACTGTAGCATAATCTCACTTAAGGCCAGAGTTACTCTGTTCCCAAATCCTTGAGATTCTGTTGGAGGGGAGCTCTAAAAGGCTGTGTCCTCTCCTATGTCCACAACAGTAGGAGTATTCTGATGCAATTTGCTCTCCAAATTTGAAATCAGGGGTCAGAGCCAAGGGCCAGGACTTCAGGAAAAGCCCCAGAGATTCTCTGCACTCAAAAGCAGTTTCAGAGTTTTACATTTCCCAAAGGGTGATAGAGCTAACTGTACGTGCCCAAGTCTTCCAAATCCTGCCGGCTGCTTTAAATTATGGCTACACTGGCTGTGGAATCCTCGAGCTCCAATCTCCACATACTTGAATTAAATCCTGTAGGTCCTCTTCGGTTCTGGCATCTGTAATCTCTTCACAGGGTCTATATTCCACAGCTATTTTACCACTTTCTGAAATGAAGTTAACAAGTAGCATATCAAAATTTTTCTTGTTCTAAAACTTGCTGTATATAACTGGGATAGCACCTAGTAATTAGACATTCTTTTGATTTTTAAAAAATATTTTATTCATTTATCTGAGAGAGAGAGTGCACAAGCAGGGGGAACAGGAGAGGGTGAGGGAGAAGCAAGCAACCTGCTGAGTAGGGAGCCTGATGAGGGGCTCGAACCCAGGATCCTGGGATCATGACCTGAGCCGAAGGCAGACCTTAACCAACTGAGCCACTTAGGTGCCCCATAGACATTCTTTTGATTTCTAAAAGCAGAAAATAAAAGCATCTTCTCAGAAGTTTTCTCATCTCACACTTCAGTTTTTATCATAATTTTTTTTTTAAGATTTTATTTATTTATTTGAGAGAGAGAAAACACGAGCAGGGGGGAGGGGCAGAGGGAGAGGGAGAAGCAGACTCCCCACTGAGCAAGGCAGTCCGACATAGGGCTTCATCCCAGGACCCTGGGATCATGACCTGAGCGGAAGGCAGACGCTTAACCGACTCAGCCACTTAGGCACCACTATCATAACTATCTGTGAAAAAATATATATGAAGTTATCAACCATGTGGTTAAAAAATCTTTATGATCTCAGAGATAGGAACTAAGGAATAATGACATAGGAAGTTAAAACTGTGGAAGCAAAACTGTTCAATCATAGTATGATTAAACAGTAAGACATTAGGTAGGGGTCAATGTAAGTTCAAACCTGGAATAGAGACCACTGGACTATGGCTGATACTTCATATTAGAAACAAGGCAAGTGTCTACTCCCTGAGAACCCAAATCCCACCAGATACAATGAACAATGCTTTGGAGGGGGGTGGGCAGGGCATGCATTTGAACACTTTATTGGCAGAAACAGGCCCGTGTAACTTATAGACAACACAATTTACCTTAGGGCAAACTACAGCTACGAGACTTTTTAGTCTAAGGAATTTTGAATGTGTACAAGGGATACCATAGCATATTATGGAGAGGTCAACAACCCAAACGCTTAGTTTGCTTCTTAAAGGTTGTCATTCAGAATTGACAGCTAATGGAGAGTCTACCTGATGACCAGGGAAGTCAGTCTTCACGGGAAGACTTGCCCAGGCTGGAAACCTGAGACCAATCCACGGTCAACTCTTACAAGCAAATAAGGTCTCTGAAACGTAGCTAGGATGTTTATAGCAGCAATGTCCACAATAGCCAAACTGTGGAAAGAGCCAAGATGTCCATCGACAGATGAATGGATAAAGAAGATGTGGTATATATATACAATGGAATATTATGCAGCCATCAAAAGGAATGAGATCTTGCCATTTGCAACGATGTGGATGGAACTGGAGGGTATTATGTTGAGCGAAATAAATCAAACAGAGAAAGACATGTATCATATGACCTCACTGATATGAGGAATTCTTAATCGCAAGAAACAAACTGAGGGTTGCTGGAGTGGGGGGTGGGGTGGGAGGGATCGGGTGAATGGGTGATAGACACTGGGGAGGGTATGTGTTCTGGTAAGCGCTGTGAATTGTGCAAGACTGTTGAATCTCAGATCTGTACCTCTGAAACAAATAATGCAATATATGTTAAGAAAAAAAAAAAGAAGAAGAAGAAGAAGGTAGCAGGAGGGGAAGAGTGAAGGGGGGGAAATCGGAGAGGTAGACGAACCATGAGAGACGATGGACTCTGAAAAACAAACTGAGGGTTCTAGAGGGGAGGGGGGTGGGAGGATGGGTTAGCCTGGTGATGGGTATTGAGTAGGGCACATTCTGCATGGAGCACTGGGTGTTGTGCACAAACAATGAATCATG